AAATAAAAAATGCACAGGCCATCAAATACCACCAAAAGAAAGCTCGATGCGGGAGAAAAAAAGGACATAAATTTAATTTTGGTGCAGCATTGCATGACCGTGCAATTGTCAGTTAAAGTAACGCAGCAGCGCCGTAACACAAACCGCTTCTGCAACAACTTCCTGACCGCCCTATAGTAGAAATACTGCTACAGGGCAGCATGAGTGGGCAAAATCACTTATATTTACATGATTCCTACTCCTGTGGTTTTCACGCCCCTCCCAGATAGTGTCAGATTGCCCTTCAGTACATCAGTAATCACATTTAACCCCTTCATTGCCAGGAACACGCTCATACACAATAAACCTCCATTGCTATTATTGTATCTGAAAGGATCAATATCTTTGCTCAGATCAGCACTATACTGTGTTCACATTAGTATAGCGTCCCCAAAAAATGCAGCGTTAGCGGAATCAGCCCCTGCACCTGCCAGCACCTGCACTTAGCCCCTAAGCTTACCCCCCTCCTTCTCCCCCAGCAAGTGCAGTGTCAGTGTTCGCAGAATCAGCACCCGTACTTTCCCCATTCACTGCCTAACCCAGAATTCAGGTGGAAACAGCAAATTGAACTACTCCCGTTGATTTTTTTGGAGCTGTCTTTCACGGAAGATCTGTATGCATTGATTGTGGATCAAAGCAATTTATATGCACAACAGTTTATCGCCGCCAACCCAAACTCAAGCCTTGCCAGTCCATTTGCATGGATACCTATTACGATTTCCGAATGTAAAGTTTTTTGGGCCTAACCCTCAACATGGGCATTGTATTGGTCCACAGACCCGATTCATCATATGCCTGTGTTCTGTGCTGCCATAGCCAGGCATAGAAATGAGAATATAATATTTTTTATGCATTTCAATGACAACACACTCTGTTGTTCTCAGGTGACTCTGAATTTGACCTACTCTATAAAATTCGGCCCCTCGTAAATCACCTTAACCAAAAATTTGCAGATGTCTATACTCCCCAGCAAAAAATTGTTGATGATTCCCTCATAAATTTTTCTGGCCGCCTTCCATTCAAACAATTTCTCCCCAGCAAGCGTGCCAGATATGGGTTCAAGATGTATAAGACCTGTGAGAGGGCAACAGCCTATACATAAAAGTTTTGGATTTACGAGGGAAAAAGATAGTCACGTGGAGCCCCCCAGATGTCCAGACTACATGGGGAGCAATGGCAAAATAATTTGGGATTGGTGTCATCCTTTTTCCATATGGTTTACCACTTATATGTGGACTATTTTTATTCACGTGTGCCACTATTTAGACATTTGTACAATCTTGGAATTGGTGCATGTGGCACCTTGTGACCTAATGTGTGGCCACCATTAGAAGTGGGTGGATGCTAATGGTGGGCATACCACACCCTTTTTCTGGCAGAGATTTCTTCTCTTTTTTTCATTCAGCCCACAGGCTGCATACAAAAAAAAAAGAACATAGCATATATACCCAACAAGGACCAGCGACGTACTGGTACATTACTGGACTTTGAATGGTGCAGGCATCATCCTGGTATTGTTTTTTTTTTCAGTCGGTGATCGGCTTTTATGTAAAAGCAATCCTAGTGGCTAATTAGGCACAGGATTGCTTTAACAAGCCGCTGGAGATGATTGCCCCTCCCCCACTGCCTTCCACAACCTTCTCGGGCAATTCCGTGCCATCGGGGGAACCTAAAAATGCAGCCGGTGTTTCTGCCAGATGACCATAGAGCTGATTTGAGACCGGAATGGTGCCAATCATCTCTATAGTCTAAGAAATCGTTAGCTATGAGCTTCATCACTTTTCACACAGTTTCACAGGATATAACCAGCACCCTTTGTAAATTGGGAAAGCATCTGATCACACCGATCTTGGTGGAATTAGATAATGTTCGGGCAGAGGAGATATCTGATAGACCCCAGATTTCTCAAAAAAGAATATATGACAATGCCCATTGAAGTTATAGGGGTTATTTGCATTCCCTGTGATAGCATTAAAAGTTAACAAAAAAACAAGAATTGAACATGTGCCAGTATGTAAACAGCAGTTGCACCATGCAAGTGAAGTATTGTCGCGAACATCAGATCAAGGGCAGTAATTCTAGCACTAGGCCTCCTCTGTAAATTTAAAATGGTAGCTTATAAAGGCTTTTAAAGCGTTACCTATGGATATTAAATATGTATGCAGTTTGTCGCCATTGCACAGGGCATACGCAGTTTTAAAGCATGTCATGTTTGGTATCCATTTACTCGGCATACCATCATCTTATATATCTTACCAAATAATTGGCCAATATATTGTGCTTTTGTCATTAAAAGTAAAATAAGTGTATTTTTTGCAAAAAATCGACATTTGAAAAATTGCTGCACAAGTACTATGTGACATAAAAAATTGCCACACCCACCATTTTATTCACTGGGGTGTCTGCTTTAAAAAAATTTATAATGTTTGGGTGTTCAAAGTAATTTCCTAGCAAAAAATACAGATTTTTTTTTTTCATGGAAACAAAAAGTGGCAGAGAAGGCTTGGTCTTCAGGTGGTTAGAAGCATGAATGATGTGTGACATAAACTTCTAATGCTGGGCATAAAATGCCCCCCACCCCCCAAAACGACCCCTTTTTGGAAAGTAGACACCACAAACTATTTGCTGAGAGGCATGTTGAGTCAATAGAAGAATTTTTTTTTACCACAAGTTTTTGGAAAATGACAAAAAAAAAATTTTTTTTTACACAAAATTGTCTCTTAAATGATGTATTGCTCACACATGCCATGGGTATATGTGGAATTACTCCCCAAAATACATTCTGCTACTTCTCCTGAGTATGGAGGTACCACATGTGATAGACCTTTTGGCAGTCTAGCCACATACAGGACCCCAAAATCCAATAAGCACCTTCAGGCTTTTAAAAGGCTTTATTTCCTCATTACACTTCCTGACTACCTATCACAGTTTCGGAAGCCCTGAAATGCCAGGATAGCACCAAACTTCCCCAAATGACCCCTTTTTGGAAAGTAGACATCCCAAAGAATTAGATAAAAAGCATGGTGAGTATTTTTCAGATCTCATTTGTTGCCACAAGCTTTTGGAAAATGAAAAAAAGTAACCATAAACATATTTTTTCTTTTCTTTTTTTATATTTCAAACCCTTTTGATAAAAAATGAGATGTGCAAAATACCCACCATGCCTCTTTTTAAATTCCTTGGTGTCTACTTTTCAAAAAGGGGTAATTGGGGGGGGGGGGGGGGTGCTATCCTGGCATTTCAGGGCCTCCAAAACAGTGATGGGTAGTGAGGAAGTGAAATGAGGAAGTTACGCACCTTCAGGCTTTCAAAGTGGTCATTGGATTTCAGGCTCCTATATGTGGCTAGGCTTCCAAAAAGTCTCACACATATGGTATCCCTATACTTGGTTGAAGTAGCAGAATGTATTTTGGGGTGTAATTCCACATATACCCATGGCTTGTGAGAGAAATATATCATTTAAATGACAACTTTAAAAAAATAAAAGGTTTTTGTCATTTTCCAGAAAAAAAATACATCTTCCATGGACTCAATATGCCTCTCAGCAGATAACTTAGGGTGTCTGCTTTCTGAAAAGGGGTAATTTGGGGGTGTTTGTACTGTTCTGGTATTTTAGCACCTCAAGAAATGTGATGGGCAGTCAGAAAGTAAAAGCTGTGTAAATTCCATTATCTATACCATAGATTGTAGATGCTATATCTTTCACTCAAAGCAATCAATTTACACTTATTGGGATTTTTTTAACCAAAAACATTTAGCAGAATATATTTTGGCCTAAATTTATGATGACATTTTAGTTTTTTTTTGGATATTTTTTATAACAGAAATGATAAATGATTTTTTTTTTTTCAAAAAAAAATTTTTTTTTTTCAAAAATTATTTTGTTTATAGCACCAAAAATAAAAAGTAATTAAAGTATAAAATACCAGTGAAATAAAGCTCTGTTTGCGTGAAAAAAGGATGTAAATTTCATGTATGTACCGTATTGCATGACCGAACAATTTTCAGTTAAACTAGTGCATCGCTGTATAAAAAAAAAAAATGGCGTAATTCCAGTATCTATACCATAGGTTGTAGATGCTATAACTTTCACACAAAGCAATCAATATACACTTATTGAGATTTTTTTACCAAAAACATGTAGCAGAATACATTTTGGCCTAAATTTATGACTAGCTTTGAGTTTACTATATATTTTTTATAGCCAAAAGTAAAAAACATTGTTTTTCTTCAAAAGTTTCAGCCTTTTTTTGTTTATAGTGCAAAAAATAAAAAGCTCACAGGTGATTAAATACCACCAAAAGGAAGCTCTATTTGTGTTTGGGTACAGCATTGCATGACCGCGCAGTTATCAGCTGAAATAGTGCAGTACCGAATAGCAAAAAGAGGCCTAGTCAGGAAGAGGGGTAAATCCTCAGGATTGCAAGTGGTTAAAAAAGATTGCCTGTGTCTGACTTTGTGTGTTTGTGTAAGAGAGACGAGAAAGATCACTACAAACCCTCTCCCCCCCCCCTCTCCTGTGTCTGTGAAATAAACGGTAATGTGTTAATTTGTTTACCAGCTGTGAAATTATTAGTATAACATGTGATGTTAAAATGTGGGTGATATGTAAGGCAAAGGGAAATGTTTAATTATGTTGCAGAAATAAAATCCTAGTTGAAATTGTTAGTTTTTATTATGTAAGTCTAGGAATATTTGAAACAAAGAAAAAGAAAATAGCTGATTCAGGTTAACAATCTTTAACCACCCCCCCGCCCGCCATATAGTAATATGACGGGCGCAAGGCGGTTCTCTGGTTCTGGGAGGATGTCATATGACGTCCTCCCATTCTCACTGCGCATGCGCGGCTCAGGGAGCGCGCAGCGCGCGCGATCGGCGGTGCTATGTGTCCCTTGGACACAGCGGATCACCAATCACGGAAAGAGCCGAAGATGTCGGCTCAGTCATGTGATCAGCTGTGTCCAATCACAGCTGATCACATGTAAACAGGGAAATGCCGCTTATCTGCATTTCTTTCCTCTCGAGCTGTCACGCTGACAGCTCGAGAGGAGAGGAGAGCCGGTAATCGTCTTTCCGTGGAGAGGACATGTACACTGATCATCAGGGCACTGATGATCAGTGTGCCCTGATGATCAGTGTAGCCCCAGCAGTGCCACCTGTCAGTGTCCATCAGTGCCTTATGTCAGTGCTCATCAGTGCCTCGTGCCAGTGCCCATCAGTACCACATCAATGCCACATCTCAGTGCCTACCAGTGCACATCAATGCCACATATCAGTGCCCATCTGAGCTGCCTTTCAGTGTCACCCATCAGTGCCAGTCAGTACCACCTATCAATGCCAACCAGTGCCACCTATCAGTGCTGCCAATCAGTGCCGCCTATCAGTGCCAGTCAGTGCCGCCTATCAGTGCCTGTCAGTGCCGCCTAACAGTGCCAGTCAGTGCCGCCTAACAGTGCTGCCTATCAGTGCTATATATCAGTCCATGTATCAGTGCTGCCTTTCAGTGCCCATCAGTGATGCCTGTCAATGCCCATCAGTGCCACCTACCAGTGCCTTCTCGTAAGTGCCCATCAGTGCCACCTATCAGTGTCCATCAGTGCAGCCTCATTAGCGCACATCAGTGAAGGAGAAAAATCACTTATTTACAAAGTTTTATAACAAAAACTAAGAAAAAACATATTTTTTTTTCAAAATTTTCAGTGGTTTTTGTTTTTTTTTAAGAAAAAATAAAAAACCCAGAGGTGATTAAATACCACCAAAATAAATCTCTATCTGTCACACAAAAATGATAAAAATTTCATATGGGTACAGTGTTGTTTGGCCGCGCAATTGTCATTCAAAGTGCGACAGCGCTGAAAGCTGGAAATTGGCCTGGGCAGGAAGGGGGTATAAGTGCCCTATAGGCTAGTGGTTAAATTCCTGAACAGCAGCCATGATTATTATAATTTTTTTAATGTTTAGCTCTACATTCCAGCCTATTGGACGTGGAAAAGGTAGAAGGGATGGAAAACAAATTAAGCACCACCCACAAATAAAACTGTGTGTGTTTCCTTACTGGCACTCACTTGCACAAGTTGATCAGCTAGTAAGATCTGTATAGCATGTTAAATGTCTGACCAAGCATAAGATAGGACAATAGTGAACAAACACTTGAGATGAAAATGCATATCTGCTTTGTTTTGTCCTTTATTGGTAATTGTAATAAATTGTAGTATTTTAAGAGTACAACAATAGTTTTTTTTTTTCCTACAAAAATAACCAGATCTGTTCCTAGAAGTTAAGGAGTTTCCAAGATCTATGTGGGATTAAACAAAAGGTTGAAAAAGAAAAATCAATATGGAAGGTGATGTATAATGTTATTGCACAAATGTGATGAATCTGTGAATGTCATTTCAACCATAGCGAATTATTGACAACTTTTGATGGACGTCCTTTAATGAAAATACATGTGGTGATAATGAAGGTATTAATTAATTGATATGAGCTTGTGTGTACTCATAAATCAACAAAGTTGCCAAATGTTTTGTATTTTTGTTTTGTTGCTAACTATTCTTTTTATTCTAGCAAGGACATTTTTTGATACCTCACTAACTTTCATTTTGTTTATTTCCTAGATAATAATAAATTGCATCAATATATGGTTGACTGAACTTAAAGAAGATCACAGCCTCGCCAATTTAAATATTGTAAATGAAAAAGTCCATAAATTTTGAAAAGTGTTTTTCTTATAAAATTTTGCAAATAAATAGTATTTCATCATAAATCTTGGCCAAAATTTATTCCGTTATCTTTTTAGTGAAAAAAAATAACCCAAATTAATTTATAACCAAAAATATAATTTTTAAACATTTTTTTATTTTATAATTTATGTTTTTTTTTTTTTTACATATTGTCATCTTAGCAGTACAGTGTCACCATGGTGACATAGTACTACTTGTGGGGGGTGACGAAGATTTTTTTTTTTTTACACTGATTGCTTTTACTCCCACAAAGGCTGTAAAGGCAATCATTTCTCCTTCTCTCTAGCTGCATTCTTGCAGCCATTGAGAACTACTGTGTTAGCTGTGATTGGGCACAGCTTGTCACATGGTACAAGGCTGTTGTGAATAGCCTTGTACCATGTGACCTCTGTGATCATTCACAGATTTCACACATAGTAAGCAATGATGTCACAAGTGACATCTTGCTTACTACTCTGCATGTGATCACTGATTGGCCAATCAGTGATGACATGATCGGGACCTTGCACAGAGGTCTCGTCCAACAATCGGTGTTTCACTGTGTCCCAGGGAGCGTGCACAAGCAGGGTGCGGGGAGGCCATTTATAAACAGCCACCCGACCCTGCACTGCCACCGTCTGGCCGTTTATATACATGGGCCGGACGGGAAGTGGTTCAGAATTTTCCCTTATTATGGTGAATAATTTTAAATAAAATAGAAAAAAATGGTGTTTTCACTTCTGGAATGGGATATTAGTTGTAATGCTTGGAAGGGTGTATGAATACACAAACATTTACACTAAAAAATGTGGTTGTACAGATTTCCATCTACCATGGTAGTCAAGTATCTGCATATCTATGACTTATGAACTGTAATAGTCCAGAGGATAAAATAGACTTTGTATTCTACAGTTCTTTGAGTTTGACAGTGTTATAGTTTAATTGCTGTGCTGCATCTGCAGTTGCAAATTGATCATCGGATGTCTAAGACTCTGCTGTCCAGATATGGAGGACTTTGACAAGCTTCTACTTTTCTAAACTCCTGGAAAAGAAGATCTGATGTTCCTATCTGCTCCTGTACTTTTGAATTCTTGAAAGGAAAAGTTTGGTGTTCTTTTGTTAGTCCAACATGTAGATTTTTCTGTTTTTTGAATGTTGGATATTTTTATATTTTTCAGCCCTAACATAGCCAAACTAAATTTTCTGTGTGGGTAAATCAGATAGGAAAAGTAAATATCTACACTTTACTATAACTAAGTGCTTTCTTTCCACTGTTGACATGTAATCTTTATGTACAGTTGGAATTATTATTATATAATATTTGTGCTAGGGGGTGGCAACTGGATGGAAAGATGTGCAGAAATATGTGCATAGGCGTGGTACACACGTGCATGCGTGCTTGCGCAATCTGGCATGCACCTGCCACCAAGGCTGGCGCTAAACTATTTAAACGGAGCTACTACACTGGCTAATTGCTGTTTGGTCTGCAACTTCTGTGTGTGTATATCCCAATTCCTGTGTTTGACCTCTGATCTTGACCCTGCTTGCTTTTAACTCCGCTTGTTTTCTACCTGCCCTGACCTCGGTTTGTTCCCCGGATTCTGCCTCTGCCTACTGCCTCTGGCGTATCTGCCTCCACTGTTGCTGACATTGGCCTGTGACCTAACTTCTTTCCTGTCTTCTATTTATGCCTGATCTGCCTGCCTGTTGACAACTCTGCTCGTCTAACTCTGTATCCTGAATGAATATGGCATGCTAGACAACATGTGCCTGTTAGGCAGGACTTTTTGTTAAAAGACATTTTCATCGTCCTACTGATGACAATTAAACTGGAGACCAGACCAACTAAACACATTCAAAGAATCAGAAGGCTTCCATGTAGACCAAGGATCATGCAATGTAATTAAATGCGTGATACTGTTTTGTAATATAATTCTTTACATTGTTATTGCCTCCATTTTAAAATTTTTGAGAGAAATATACACTTTTTTTTTTTTTTACTATGAAGGGAATGTGTGCTGTTCATTCCTCTGGGCTGTAGATGTCACTTTACAGTTGTTACATACTGTATATATCACTTTCTGTACCCTGACAAGGTAGTTCCTGTTCCTGTTATAAAAAAGTTAGAAGGTTGTACATATTTTTGGATGCTTGAACTTGCTAAAAAAATTAGGAAATATTATAAGGAAAAATAAAACAATTTTCAGACCTGTTGCAAAGGTGAATAGAATTTATTAATTAATTTAGTTTATTTTGCAAATTTGTTTTTCTTGAGAGCAGTGTACGGTAGTGGGGCTCTTCTGTTTTGTGTGGCAGGAGGAAAATAGTACCGCTTATACCTTTTAGTGTAGGTTGACTGAAGTGTCACTGTACTTCTTCTGGTTCTCTTAATAATCAGAGGGCTCCCTTTGGATTCTACAAAAGCATACTGTTGTGTGGGTAGGAAGGTCATAATATGGCCAGTCCTTGGGAGGGAGTGTTTTCTTTAGGTCTCCAGGATTAGGATGACAAACAACTTCAACTGTTGCTTGTCTGCTCCTTTTGTCACCCTAATTTAAATGATATAAATTACAATATTGTGATCTATAAGTGGCACTTTCTAAATATATTTAACAGTGACCCTTCTAAACTGTAGCCACTATTCATGGATCAATTATCAGAACTTGAATGTTATCAGTCTTAATTTTGATGTATCTGAAATTATTGTATTTGTTTAGGACTGAGTTCCATATATGTGGCCCAATAAGAAATCAGTGATTTCATGGGGGCAAACAGTAAATAACTTTATTGATGGAAAATAATATTCCACTTCTGGATTTTTCAATCTGTCCATTTCAGCCAGCCATTGTCAATCAATATACCTATTTGTCAACAGTGTCCTTGTCACCATTCTTTGACAATTGAAGGCTCGGTTTACACTGTTGCGACATAGGATCCAACTTGTAAGACCCCAGGTCGGATGACATGTGAAATTCAATGTTTTCCTATGAGAACTGTATTAACTGATACTACAAAAGTCTGTCCAACTTTAGAAAAGGTTCCTGCACTGCTTTGGTCCGATTTTGATAGGACTTTAATGCCACAGAGTGAAAAAAGTCATATCAAAGTCGGACTCCAAAGTTGCACTGAAAGTCGTGCAACTTTGGAGTCGTGCTAGTGTGAACTGAGCCTTAGTTGAAATCCTTCTTACTTAAAGATTGCTGTTTTCCCTGTGTACTTCATTGAGATTGCAATGGTAAGTATGCACTACGCACGAACATGCCGTATCCCAAATTTGGCATATTACTTCTTTTCTTTGTATGAGTATACTAAAATATAATGCATGCTATAGTTGTGCTTCTGCACCCTCAACTACCCCCTACCTATTATTTCCTAGGCACAGGCTTTTCTAGAAAATATATGATATAGTAAAAGTTTCGTTTTCCCAATGTACTCATTTTCCATTGTATTGGGGGACTAGGAGCAAGAAGAAAACATCTTGTAATGAACAAAGCTCCTTAAGCTTGCTTTGTCTGCAAGAATTCTATGCGAGCAGTGACCAATGACAGCATCACGGTCACCTACTTAGTACAAATGGGAATTAAATGAATACAAACAGAAAATGGAATTCTGCAATGT